GTCCCGCGTGCAGCCCTGCACCAGAAGGTCACGTCCACCTTCCTGCCCACCGCCATCAAGTTCCACTACATCTTCAACCTCCGCGACCTCTCAAACATCTTCCAGGTACTGGGGAGCAGGGGCCTTTCCCAAAGCCGAGCAAGCAAATCCCCCCGGGACCCACGGGCTGCCGTGTTTGCCAGGGGCTGCTGTTCTCCACCCCCGAGTGCCTCCGCGCGCCCCTGGACCTGGTGCGTCTCTGGCTGCACGAGGCCGCGCGGGTGTACGGGGACAAGCTGGTCGACGAGAAGGACCAGGACAGCTTCGGCCGCCTCCTCACCGCCACCTGCAAGAAGTTCTTCGACGTAAGCAGCGCTGGGAAAGGAGAGCGCGTTTCAGGGCAGGAGGCCGCATTTCGAGGCAGGAGGCCACGTTTCAGGGCAGGAGGCCACACTTCAGGGCGGGAGGCTGTGTTTCAGGGCAGGAGGCTGCATTTCGGGGCCAGATGCTACGTTTTGGGGCAGAAGGCCATGTTTTGGAGCAGGAGGTTGCGTTTCAGGGCAGGAGGCCGTGTTTCGGGGCGGGAGGCCGCGTTTTGGGGCGGGAGACCACGTTTTGGGCCACGCAGTGCTGACAATCACCACAGCCGCTCGCTTGGCCTCCCCCAGGACTTCAGGGAAGACCAGATGTTCGCCAAGCCCAACATCTACTGCCACTTCGCCCAGGGCATCGGGGAGCCCAAGTACCTGCCGGTGCCCAGCTGGCCCTCCCTGAACAAGCTGCTGGCGGAGGCCCTGGACAGCTACAACGAGGTCAACGCCGTGATGAACCTGGTGAGGCCCCGCGAGGACGGCGGGCGCGTTGCCCCCGCTGCGCTGCGCGGCGCCCGCCCTTCCCGCCCTCCCCCAGGTGCTCTTCGAGGACGCCGTGTCTCACGTCTGCCGCATCAGCCGCATCCTGGAGTCTCCCCGCGGGAACGCGCTGCTGGTGGGAGTCGGCGGCAGCGGGGAGCAGGGCCCGTCCCGGCTGGGGGG